GACCATTTTCTGGATGGGATTCTTGCCGTAAGTTTTATAGTTAAATATTGATGTAAACGTAACTAGTAAGTTTTATTTATTTACTGTGGCTCAATCTTGAGATCTCACACAGTCTACCATGAGGGCCAAGAGAGGGAGGTTAGATAATGTATACCGCGAAATACACTATGATAACATCTCTTCTTGTTCGTCACGTCACTTGTTTAGTGAAGGCCAAACGAGAGAGAGAGAGAGAGAGAGAGAGAGAGAGAGAGAGAGAGAGAGAGAGAGATAAACAAACTGTCAGCAGCGACAGTAAGAGTGGAACACGCCCGTCACTTGTGTCTATACTTCCAACCTTTCACCTTGTGGGAGAATATGTTGAGATAATTCACCTCTGAAAGTGTGTTGTATGTGGAAGGACAAGTGTAGTGTGTGTAGGAGGGGATTCACTATAACTAACGCTATATGACTTGCTATTATCTTATGACGAAAAATTAGCACAGATTAAATTGGGGTTAATTACATGCTATCCTCATCTAGGGAGGGTTACATACTCTTAGAAACGACTGTCGCTACTTTAAATCTCCTCTCAAATGCTGTACACATCTGCTGGCCTCTTTTTCACAGCTTAGATTTACACTGAAACATGCGTGAGACATTTATATACAGTATATACAAATAATGTATCACCTGAAGATTAACATTCTAGCTTATTTCGCCTAGGAGGGGTCTGATTAGGTTAGGCTTAGTTAGGTTGGAGTAGTTTAGGTTAATGTTAGGGTGGCTGTGTGGAGGGGGGGGGGCTAACCTTCAGGTAGTCAAATTAAACTTGCTAAAGGGAGATGAGGTGTTGGTGGTACAGCAACAACGACCGTGCCTCACATCAGTGTGTCCTGGGTTCAATTCCCGACCCGGGTTCCTCCTATACTAGCACTGGACAATAAAAGTCTTCATAACAAAATAAACCAACCAGTCGAACGGTTAGGTTAGGTTAGGTTAATGGACGGCTTGTGTAAATATCCCGGTAGACCAACTCCAGCATCCCAAAATAAATGGAGAAGTGTCCGGTGGGTTAACTCCTAGAGGGCAGAACCAAGACGCTCTCAGTTATAAAATCAACAGTGATGTTCTTAATTGTAATATTAGCGAGGTGAAGGAGAGATCCACACTGTCTTGGACAAACATGAATGAACAGTGTGGCTGCTCTTGACATACATGCGACTCATACATACACACACACATACATACATATATGCACCCGCACAGACGCTATAATGAGTGCCCCTCTTGTTCGAGGCTACCCAGCAATAGGGCGCCAGCACAAAAACCACACCCGAAGTTAACGAGCTGTGTGACCAAGTGTCAAGGAATAACCCAAGACGACCGGACAACTCGCCAACTGCACTGGCTAACGACGACCCCCAGAATACGATCAGTAAACGATTAGTATCCAGGTTACCAATTACTGCTGGGTAGACAGAAGTAAATGACATAAAGAAACATGCCTATAGTTTCACCCTATGTCTTGCAAGGTGATCACACTCACACACACTCACCATACACACACACACACACACGCGCGGGTCAAATGTCCTCACGATTATTATTCCTGATAACTGAAAATGTAAGAACGAACGCAAATGGATAACAGAACATAATAAAACAGTTGCATCATAACTAAACCAAAGCTACATTAACTACACACTAACTTTCGACCACTTAGGAGGACATTTTCAATAGATTCTGTACTATTTGGATCAGGGGAAAATAAGGACCTCATCCTCCGAATACGAGGGTTAACATCCACACTTCAGGATGCAGGCCGTCCTGTGACGGACAAATTGCTAGAAGTGTACAATGAGATCTGGACGTCCAGAACGTTTCCAAACTCATGGCACTTTGCCCATGTCGTACCGATCCCGAAGAGGGACAAATGCCCGAACAACACCAACTCATTCCGTCCGATTTCGCTCACAAACTGTCTGTGTAAGGTCATGGAACGTATGATAAAGCGTAGACTAATGTATTTTTTGGAAAGTAACAACTTATTGAATGATCGACAGTGTGGTTTCCGCCAAGGTAGAAGCACACTAGATCATTTAATAAGTCTTGAAACTGACATCTCAAAAGCTCTTTGCAGTAAAGAAACATTAATTGCAGTATTCTTAGATATAGAAAAAGCTTTCGACATGACATGGCGGACTGGCCTCATGATGAAGCTCCACGCCTTGGGTCTGAGAGGTAATTTGCCAATTTTTATTAGAAATTTTTTGCAGGACAGGACTTTTTCCGTCAAATTAAAAGGTAACGTAAAATCAGACACATTTGTCTTTGAAAATGGAGTTCCACAAGGTAGCGTTTTGGGCCCAATTTTATTCCTTATAATGATTAATGATTTCCTATCACCAGCCCCCAGCTTAAGTGACCTCAAATTCTCCTTGTTTGCTGACGATTGCGCAATCTGGCGCTCCTCTCGAGCTGAGAGGCTATCTGCACAAAGGGTGCAAGCTGGCCTAAAAGCCGCGGAACAGTGGGCAATACAATGGGGATTTAGGTTTTCAGTTGAGAAGACAGTAGGAGTAGTCTTCACTAAGAAACGTAACATTAGTAATCCAGTATTAAAATTAAATGATACTCCTATTAAATTTCAGACTTCAGTAAAATTTCTTGGTGTTCATTTTGACCGGAAATTAACGTGGAAAAACCACATTAACGAACTTGAAAGTAAATGTCTTAAAGTCACAAACATCCTGAAAGTTTTATCAGGTACTACATGGGGAGCCGATAGGAAATCTTTATTAATGGTGTATAAGACCCTGATCAGATCAAAACTTGATTATGGATGCCAGTTGTATTCTTCGGCATGCAACACCACACTCGCAAAGCTAACCAGAATACAGAACCGATGCCTTCGTCTATGTCTGGGTGCCTACAGGTGTACACGTGTAGGTAAACTAGAGGTTGAGGCCCACGTCCCTCCACTTCACATCAGGAGGGACATGTTGACGCTAAGGTACGGGTTGAGTACGGCTAGGAAGCGCGGCACAGACCACCCAGGTTGGTGTGCTGTTGCTAAATTCCGTTTCCTGCAGCTGCGTAGGTCCCCGTCCTCGGTTGTCCGCCTCCAGACCTTGTGCCAGGGTGCTGGTATCCATTTCGAAGACGTTGATAGATACGTTCCACCGTTGTGTCCGCCATGGGAGAACCCCAACTTCCATGTGGAAACATCGTGGCTTCCGGGAGCGAAGAATGACTTTCATCCTGAGCTCCTGAGGCAACTTTTCTATCAATTTCTTGAAGGATTCAGCGCCTATACTCACGTGTACACCGACGGGTCCAAGACTGAAGACAACGTCGGAGCCGGTATCTGGAGCAGAGACGGGGAGTGGAGCTCCCGCCTGCCGCGGCATACAACCATATTCTCTGCAGAAATGTTCGCAATAAGTAGAGCCATTGACATTGCAATAACAAGCAATGTCAATGATGTCGCTATAATTTCAGATTCCATGTCAGCTCTTAAAGCAATTCAAGGTGGTAATACTACCAGCAATGAGACACAGGGCAACATTATTAATAAATTACATGAGTGTGCCAAGAATATTGTGCTGGTGTGGGTGCCTGGGCATTGTAACATTCGGGGCAATGAACAGGCAGACAGATTAGCAAGAGCGACTGTGGGTCTCGGGGAGACAACTAATGTATCCTGGGAGCCTCAGTCGTGTCTCTCCTTGGGGAAGACATATACATTTGGAAAGTGGCAACTTGAATGGACAAGGTTGGATCTCCACAACACCTGGAAGCCTAATATAGGGAACTGGCCCTCAGCATATAGAAAGAATAGGAGGGAAGAGGTCGTTCTCGCCAGACTAAGGCTGAACTGTACCTATCTGACCCACCTAGGGGCCTATCTTGACAATTCCTTCCCACCTATCTGTGCCACTTGCAACCTAATTCTCTCCATCAGACATATTCTGACTGAGTGCAGCCAGTACGAACCAGAGCGCCGGCAGCTGGTGATCCTAGCTGCCGAGCAAGGCTTCGTGCTGACTGTACCCAACCTATTGCAAGATAATGTCACCATAAGTGACGCAGTAATAACCTTCCTCAAGGAGACCCATCTTATCGGCATGTTATGATTGACACACGCATGAACTCTTTTTATATCTATTATATGTATGTAACCATGCCTTAAAAAATAAAAAATAAAAATAAAAAATAAAAATGAATAAAACAAAAATTAAAACATACAACATGAGAAACACATCACAAACCTTATCATTACATACAACACTCACATTTATCAAGCTAAACTGACACCCACCAACATATATTCAAACAAAAAGACACGGGCTACAAAAGACAAAATAAAAAATAATAAAAAAAAAAAAAATCACAGAGAAACTAGTCACCTGACAAGCCATTTCATCTGGTCTGTTACTAACTCACCATCATATCACTCATGCATACCATAATTCATCCCAAATAAAACAACAAGAAGAAAGAAGTAACCAAAATACCAAGAACAAGAAGAACACAAGAATAACAAGAAAAGAAGAAAAGAACATCAGATTAGTTGTAGCAAGAAAGAAGACCAAGATTAGAAGAAGAAAGAAGACATCAGCTTCGGCCGAAATAGCCCAATGGCGAAGAGGCCAGTAATCCCCAACATCAGTCAGTCTGTGACATTCCTATGGGTACCCAGTCATGTCGGTATCTTGGGGAATGAGGCAGCAGATGGCCTTGGCAAGACTGGCTGCAACAAGGCCACACCTAACTACGTTGTTCCTCGAACACTTTTACAACTTAGGACCCAAATTCGCCGCAAACAGAGAGAAGCTCTGGAAGCAGCCATCCCCCTTGACTCCCCGCCCACCTGATCTCTCGTGTTATTGTACAGGGGTACCTAGTGACAGCACTAGGATCCCGTTTCTTTAATCAAGGAATCAACAATTGAAATTGAAAATTGAATTGATTCTGTACCTTTTTTTTCCCAATTGTTCCTAAGGACACGCGCGTTGTTAAGATAGTTCCGGTCTAGTTTTTGAGGGACGGTCCGTAGCATATGTCCGTGTCAACAGTACAACATCTACACTATCATATACCACATCAACTACACTGTCATCTACTACATCAACCACACTGTCATCTACCACAACATCTACACTATCATCTACAACATCAACCACACTGTCATCTACCACAACATCTACACTATCATCTACAACATCAACCACACTGTCATCTACCACAACATCTACACTATCATCTACTACATCAACCACACTGTCATCTACTACATCAACTACACTATCATCTACTACATCAATCACACTGTCATCTACCACAACACCTACACTGTCCTCTACTACATCAACCACACTGTCATCTACCACAACACCTACACTGTCCTCTACTACATCAACCACACTGTCATCTACCACAACACCTACACTGTCCTCTACTACATCAACCACACTGTCATCTACTACATCAACTACACTATCATCTACTACATCAATCACACTGTCATCTACCACAACACCTACACTGTCCTCTACTACATCAACCACACTGTCATCTACCACAACACCTACACTATCATCTACTACATCAATCACACTGTCATCTACCACAACACCTACACTGTCCTCTACCACAACACCTACACTGTCATCTACTACATCAACCACACTGTCATCTACCACAACACCTACACTGTCCTCTACTACATCAACCACACTGTCATCTACCACAACACCTACACTATCATCTACTACATCAATCACACTGTCATCTACCACAACACCTACACTGTCCTCTACTACATCAACCACACTGTCATCTACCACAACACCTACACTGTCATCTACTACATCAATCACACTGTCATCTACCACAACACCTACACTGTCCTCTACTACATCAACCACACTGTCATCTACCACAACAACTACACTGTCATCTACAACATCAACCACACTGTCATCTACCACAACATCTACACTATCATCTACATCATCAACCACACTGTCATCTACTACATCAACCACACTGTCATCTACCACAACACCTACACTGCCCTCTACTACATCAACCACACTGTCATCTACTACATCAACCACACTGTCATCTACCACAACACCTACACTGTCCTCTACTACATCAACCACACTGTCATCTACTACATCAACTACACTGTCCTCTACTACATCAACCACACTGTCCTCTACTACATCAACCACACTGTCATCTACTACATCAACTACACTGTCATCTACAACAGGGATAGGAAGGACAGGAGATAGTACACAACCATTCCCTAAGGGCTTGTTGACAAAGTTTCTGTCTACTTTTACCAGTTATTTCCAATATAAAGAAAATACAAAGATTTTTTTCACTTGCCTGTAGATCATGTTCAGTTTTCTTCTTGTAAAACTAAAAAGAAAAAAAATAATATCTAAATTGGTGTAGTGTATAATTATAATCACAGTATTGTGGGGAATGAATAACAGTGAATAATAATAATAATCCTTCATTACTCCCAGATGAGTGGTGACGGGGCGACGGGGGGCCTCACACCACATGTTACTGAGGACGGTGTGAGGCGGACACTCCACCTCGACCAAGGCCAGGACGCTACTCTCCTACACTGGGCATGTCACGATTTCACCAACAAGGGAGACAACTACATTGCCATCATCACCAGCGTCAACGTTAAGTTTAGTAAGGGCGGCAGCGAGCAGCAGGTGTCATACGTCGTCAAGATAAAACAAGTAAAAGACTCAGGCTCTACTAGTGACTTCGATGATATGGTGTTTATTAAAGAGGGGAAATTCTATACTGAAATCATGCCGCTGATTAATGCGGAATTGGTCAATGTTGGGATGACCCCTTTAAGAGTCCCGTGCTGTCTGCACTCTGAATGGGATGAGAAGCAGAATGAGCTGTTTTTAGAAGACCTTCAACCTCTTGGATTTAAGTTACATGACCGCAAGAAAGTAATGAGCACAGCACACGCAGTTCTAGTCTTGCAGGAGCTTGCCAGACTCCACGCAGCCTCATTCATCGTGCTTTCCAAAACTCCCCAGGAGGACCTGATTCATAAATTCAAGTTTTTATCCTGGGAGATGTTCAATTATTCTGAGAAAACCAAGAAGGCTTTTGACGCATTGATCTCCGGTAGTCTCCTGACGGCCTCCGAGCTGGCCGGGGCGGTGGACAGGGAGGACATGAAGGAGTGGTTCAGAGCACTGTCTCCTAGGGGCCCGGAGCTGTTGGCTGAACAGATGAGCGGCGGGTCTGCCTTTGACGTCATAAGTCATGGTGACTGCTGGGTCAACAACTTAATGTTCAGGTCAGGATTTGTCTTTGTACCAATGTCGAGTCTACATGGAATAACATGAAAAGAATTACAAGACAGAGTACAGAGAATAAAGTATTAATTTAGTAAGTGTACTCTCTGTAATCTAGTTATAATATTGTTTAGTTAAATATCCATCATGCAGTTATACAGCCATATATTTTCCGTCAGTTGTGTAGATTAGATGTAATGTGTTCCTTGCAAGTGTCCATCACAGGTAACGTATGCAGGGGAAAAATATTCACGGAACACATATGAATTAGAGTCATGTCATTAACCCTTTAAGGAGTAATGCCGCACTTAGATATTTTATTCTGCTGAGAGAAACCCCGACCACTCAATGGGTTAAAATCTGTCTCGCTTAATGAGGGAATATGTACGTTTGTCTCGCCGCTTGTACGTGTTGTGAGGCAGGGGTTGGTACTCCTGTTTCCTCTTGCCAAATCCATCTGTTAACCTATGTAAATCCTTCAGAAGTGTTAGTGATTTTGTACTGTAGGTAGAGTATATCCATAACTTGTATTTTGTATTATTTGTGTAGGTTTTAGGGTTCATGTGAAAGTATGTATGTGCGTTTGAATGTATTTATGTAATGCATTGTGTGTGTTTGTGTGTGGGTGCGTATACAAAAACATACATACGTGCGTTTGTGTGGGTAAATGTGTACTTTATCAGCCTTCCCATGTTGCAGGTATGATGCTCAGAGTCAGCCCGTCGAGGTGATGCTTGTTGACTTTCAGTTGTGCCGGAAGTCATCGCTGGGTGTCGACCTCAACTACTTCTTGTTCAGTAGCCTCACCGCCGCTGAGAGGAACGTAAGACTGACGGATCTGTTGGCTACCTACTACACTGCCTTTCAGGAGGTGACAGAGGCGGCGGGGATCGCTGCGCCCTACACTCTTGATGACGTCATTGGGGAGTTCCACAAGAAGAACATAGTTGGTCTCATCTTCGGCGCCTTGGCTATCCCCGCTCTGGTGTGTGACCCGCAGGACGCCCAGGAATTCGATGTCACTTCGGACGATCACACAAACAACTATGTCACCAAGAAACGTCAAAATACACTGAATATGTTGAAGACGAACTCCCTCGTGTTGCCCAGGCTAATGAATCTCTATGATGACGTCGAGCTTTATGCTGGCCTTACCTAATGCATTTTCAGACTAATAATTCGAGTTTTGCTTGTAAGTGCTTCAACAAAGTCTACCACAAACACGTGTATCTCAGCTTCACTAAAGTATGAACGGAGGAAGAGCCCAAGGAGGGATCGGGCGTCCTGCCCAGCAGTGTGGACAAACCTTCCCCCCTTTCAAAGAATCAGATTGGGCCCACACCAGCCCAAATATGGATACTTGGTCACACGACTTCCGCACACTACCACTAATACAGCTCTGAGGATAATGATGACCAAATTGAATAATGATATATTACCTTAAAAAGCATTCTTTGACATACAGACATTATCAACCTATTAAAGTGCATTCTCTTAAACTTTGATCATGAATTATGACCTATTTTTACTTCGCTAACACACACACACACACACACACACACATATATATATATATATATATATATATATATATATATATATATATATATATATATATATATATATATATATATATATATATATATATATATATATATATATATATATATATATATATATACTATAATGAGACACCATTTATTTGTGAATTATGGTTCCTTTTTCTTTTGTGTTCCATATTGGGGAACAAAATGTTGAAAAATTCCATATTGAAAAACTGATTTTCTTTTTTTGTTTTTACTAAAATTGACAATGTCAACGAACACTATATAAGCTGTTAGATATTGTGAAGACCGTGATCACCACCAGTCCTGCTAAAACAATAACACATCGAGTTTGGCAGAGGATGAACTTAGATTTTGTAACTATTAAAACAACAACAACACGTAAAGAACAATTCTCGGGGAGAATACGGACTGTTATCAAGGTGATGAACAGCTTTCTCCTAAAAACAAAGTTTCTTAAACATGAGATTAGGAATGCAAGTTTCATAAGATATTAACACCTATCTTCATTTATACTTTAATTGTGTTATGTTGGTTTGTTTATATTATCTCTCTACAACGGTTTATTATCGTAGTTTCAGCTTCGAGTACGTACATATCTAACGTGTTTGTAAATTATTATTTTTCTAATTCCGCAACCTCTTTCTGCAATAAGAAATAAAGACTAGTAATTCTAGAAAAAAAACCCTGAGACCGTGCACGAGCACCTTAGGTTTAGGCTAGTTACCCGTATTGGCAGGTCTACTTTTATATTGGGCACTCCCCTACAGCCTGTGTAAGGTGAAACGCAGAAGCGTTTACAGCGCCCAACAGGGAAGCATGCTAAGTTCATGCTTGCCTTTATGCCTCATGAGTTAAGGGCGTAGAAGCCTAAAGAGTCAAGGGCGTAGAAGCCTGAAGAGTCAATGGTTTTCATGTCATCAAGTTATTGGAAGCTCCAACAACTTTCCCTGAATAAGAATTCGCAACTTTCGATTTACAACAGGTACCTACATTACTGCTAGGTGAACAGGGACCAATGAATGTCCAAACAAATTTTCCACCAGTCCGGGAATCGAACACATTACATCTCGCTTGCGAGGTAAGAGCGGTACCGTTCTACCACCGGCGCCGGCTAGGTACACTTAGTGGGATTGATTTACGATTTTGGATTAGTTTTGTTGATTGTTCCGCGCTTTGTTTATTATTGTTAAATTAGGAGGGGTTACATTAGCGCTTTTTGTCTCGCCTCTTTTTGTTTTGTTCTTCAACTGTTGTCATCTTAACTGGGGACCATTGTTCGGACGCCACGTATCCGCGGTTCTGCCTAATTGGCTGGCGTCAATTTCCATCAAGATCCATACTAAATACTGAGAATAGTTATATAAAATAAAATATTGAGCCACGTAAGATGACCATATTTAATTGTACAATTTTTATTAAATTTCAAATTTTTAATAATTTGATTGAGTTAATTTTTTAAAATTAATGTTGGCATACATCTAATGTTTGTCTACACTATGACCCGAGCGCCGAGTGGCCGACCTGTTAGCGCTTTAAGCACTTTACTGTAGGTGGACCAACGTGGAATGACGCAAGTTGGAACTATATATGTGTGTGACAGAGCACTTCAGCAGTCCTAAGGGAAATTGGTGCAATAAAATGATACAAAAGTGCTAGTGTGACGCTGCCTTCACTGGACACCAGCTGGGCATCGGCTATGTTTGATCACGGAGAAAAAACATCCACCAGATAAATTGAAAGGTAAGTAAAGACTGTTTTTTCCCAATTCTGTTATTCTACATGCTTGTCTACAAAACTAAAAGAAAACTTACCATTTCAGTAAGATTTGAGAAATCCGGGTTTTATTTGGCGTAGGTATAGAGTAGCCAGTTTTCTTCAAGGACTATAATAAGAAAGATGGGAAAGAGTCTTCCTTTACCAACACGAGCCACTGAGCCCCGATCAACGCCATCTGTTGGCAACCCGGGGCGGAGTGAGATGGGTTTCATGTTTCATGTTTTCACGTTGCTAAATATTATTGATCATATAGGGTTTACTGTGTGAAACAATTTCCGGCTACATGCGGCCGGAAAAAGGAACGTTGCGGACCCCTGACAGACAGCCCGCACCTCGCACACTAACGCCAGCTGTTCATCCCGCGCTCAACTACATATGCTATGTGTGTTACGCGGTTTTCGCCTTGCTTTCCTGTCGTTCTTATTATAGTCTTTGGTTTTCTTAATGATAACCTTAATAACCAATAAGGAAGTATAACTCCCTTAAAACCATTATTTTTAATGAGTTGCCACAGCAAAAGACACCGTAAAGTTTAATGAATGCCTGATTATAATGGATGATTTTAACGCAAAAGTTGGGAAAGGGATTGTAACACCAGAAGTTGGGTTTGGTAATAGAAATGAGAGGAGAAATATTAATAGACTTTTGTAAGGAAAACAAGATGATAATTACAAATACATGGTTTGTACAACACACTAGATATCTCTATACATGGGTCTCACCCCAGGGCAATAAAACAACATAGGGATCAAATAGATTATATTTTAATTCAGGAAAGATTTAGAAATTCAATAACCCGAACTAAAGAACCTATCCAGGGGCAGATTATGCATGGGTCAGATCACGTCCAAGTAATGAGTTTACTGAGGCTAAAATTAAAAAAAATAAATAAAAGAAAAAACAAAGGATAAAATCTAATGGGATATAGGTAAACTCAAACTAGGGCAGATATAGAATATGAAATTTAACCCAAAATAGATTTTCAGTATTGCTAAAGGGTGACTTTGATGAACAAGGACCAGGATAACAATTTAATAATTACAAAGAATTAATGTTAGAGACTAGGAACATACTGTAGGAGGAACGAGGCTAAAAGTGGATGACAAATTACATTTTAAAGAAATAATAAGATAATAAGTAATGCCTGCAAAGTTGTATTAAATTTATTTTAAGTAGAATAAGATTTAGAATAGAAGTTGAGTTATCTGAAGAGCAAAATGGATTTTAAAAGTGAAAAGGGAACTACAGAGTATAGATAAGCTTATTTGATTTGATAATTGTGAGTGAAAGGGCATTAGAGGTCCAAAGAAATTTATATATCTGCTTTATTGATATTCCAAAGGTTTTGATAAGGTAAAGCACAATAAACTTGTACAGATCTGGGAAAAATAGCCATCAATGAGGGAGATATTAAAATTTTAAAGAATCTTTAATGGCAACAGGAGGCTGCAGTGTTAGTAAATAATGAATTTAATAATTGGTTCACAGATAGACTGGGAGCAAGACAAGAGTGTGTTCTGTCTCCAACATTGTATAATATACATTCAGAATTCTTAATGAGAGAAATTATAAGTGATAATGAAGGACTAAAAGTTAAAGGTAAAGTGATATCATATATATATATATACTATGCAAATGATACTGCTCTTATCATAGATAGTGAATTGCAGCCTACCCTCAGCTCAAGTTAATGGTTGTTAGATAAAAAATGAACAATAGGTTACTCTGCTAAAATTGGCAAGCAACCTATCGCATGTTTGGTAAAGTGACGGTTTATGCTCATATATAATCATGCAGTCATAATATCCTTTTATAGGGCATTCTAACGCCCTTAGAATGATAAAGGTTATAATTAATTGCCCAAATACACCTTGGTTCGAGTGACTGTCCATTGAGAAAGTTGTTAGGTGGCAAAGACGAGTAGGGTCACCTGAAGATTAGGCACCTGAGCTTATTTCACTTGATTAAAAACCCTAACGCTGCCTGAGGGGGAGGAGGGTTAGGTTAGGTTAGGTTAGGTTAGGTTAGGTTAGGTTAGATTCAATAGGTCTATGGTCCACTTACCTATTCATTACTAACGTGAATTTCTTAATACCTTTTTCACCTTTAGTTGATTACATAATTTAATTAATAAATCTCAGAGAAGCAGAAGACGATTGACAGATTATGGTACTGGGATATATTATACAAATGATATATGAGAATATTATAACAGACTTTTTAATATTTTCCACATTAAATTATCACATATTATAACAACAATTAATAAGCAAGACAGTTACATATTTATAATAAAAGGCTGGTGTTGTAGAGCTTCGTCCTGGTCTAATGTAGTCGGTAGGTGTAGTAATTGTACAAGAGGTTCAATTGAGTGCGGGGTTGGGGTTGGGTCTGTGTTGAACGCCACGTAACATTGTCCAGTCCCCTTCACTAGAGCGTTTACAGGGGTTCCTCATATAAACATTTCCCAAATCATTATCTTTGAGATATTTGTTTTAATATTGGTTTTAATTTGATTCCATAGTATGTTTAGTATTACTAGTTTACCTTCTGTTGAATGTAAACAAACACAGCTCTGCCACACTGTACTAAAGCTGACGACCCCTGTAAACACATTAGTGAAGGGGACTGCACCTATACCGTACTTATTTGAACCAAGTCTCCGTCGTGTGCGCTAAGGTCGTTAATATCGTACACAAGCTCCGAAAAAAAGTACAATAGCTGTTTTTGGGAAGAGTTAAGTGAATGCCGTGGCTGAGTGTCTGTACCTACCTCCTAAAATAGATTGATAAGAGATTCGGTTTTTCTGTGGATAGTTGGATAGTACTATTTACAAGTTCGGTGAGGTTAGGTTAGGTTAGGATTTCACCATATGCTTTTCCTTGAGTTTGGTCATTACAGTCTATTAATTTATGGATTGAGTAGGCGAGGCATGGTAGAAGGTTAACTACTGAGTGAAATATTATTGTCAAGGTGTTTCAAAAGTTACTATTAATTTCTGCCATCAAATCTTTTCCTTTGATGAGGTGAGGAAAATTGGGGGGATCATTTGAAGGGTTAGATTTATGACAATTCTTGGGAACCTGATTAATGGATGAACACACCTGGGGGAACCTTAGCCTCACCTGAACCCTTTTGCCTGTTTACATCTATTTCTAAACCATCTGGTGGGCTGAGGGATGACTGGATGAACGGCTATTGGAGTTAGAACTAGACACATTAAACCAGATTACTTTGCTGTTGTGTTACTCAGCACTCTGGAATGATTTGATGAATGATATGCTTGTAGGAAGCTTTATAAAGTATGAACTCTACAGCATCTTATCACGTCAAAGGGATGAATGTTGTGTTCTTTACAGTAGAGGAAGGATTGTCACAAGAGAATGAAGACTAAGGGAAACAGAGAGAAAGGCTCACGTTATCCATTATACACTCATACGGGTCTTAGTTGGACTAGCTTTGTGATAAGAGAGTTAGTTGTAGAGAGGAGGGAGGCGGTGTTCGTAAATACTGAGATGAGAGGGGAATTTGTCGTGAAAATTAGCATTTTTTTTTAGATATACAGCAAAAAAATATCGTTTATAGTCTAGATTCAGATATAAGATATTTGACAGTGTAAATATGAAATAAATGAGGGGGAGTTCACGTGATCAGATAGTTTATACGTGTAAATCATTGTTTCTTTTGTTTGTAAATTAGATACGTATTTTGTTAAACCCATTTAAAATTTACCGGGGTTATTTAGCGGTCGCCATGATTAATAGTGGTTTTGTGAATAGGGAAGTGCCCGGTTCACTGTCAGGTGAGGTCACCACTGGTCTTCCTTCAGTCGCTCCAGTAAGTAAACTCTTCCTTAGACTACAGTATATAGCTTAAGTAAGGTAGTACACGTCTGTCACTTTGTTTATGGATAATAGTTGAGAATGTATTGATTTAAGTACAAATTATGAAGATTATAACTCAACGATTTAAAGCTTCCTTCATGGTTCTCAAAAAAAGAACTTGAATCATAGACCCAGGTTATATAATAGGCCCATGGGGAAGGAAGTACTAGAATTATATGTCCGGATAAGGAAAGGTAATGCAATCCAAGTTGTTATTACACTTGAATAATGAACATGGACGTATAGTAATATGATGGCAATATTCGTATAAGTTGTACAGTTAATTTTTATTTTATTACGCAAAGAAAACATTAGATAGTTATTACGTAAACGGCGGCCATTCGAGAACAGACGAGCATACTGTCTGCCGCCATTTTTTATTTATTTTTGATTGACAGTGAATCAAAACTAATCATATGTTTCCTTGTTCGATAAGAATAATTTCTCTTATAGAGGACTGAGAAGGTTGAGGGCAACACCCTCTCTAGCCAACAGCCTGACGGGCGGTCTCTGGGACAAATAGCAAAGTGAACGGAACACCCAGGGCGGACACTGCTCCGTAGGTCCAGTAGAGGCCGGCGGGACCAAGGAGGTTCTGCATGGGACTATACAGCTGTAGGGCCGCGGAGGAGGTCACACTGCCTATCACGGTGCACACACACATTGCCTGTGGAGGGAGAAGTCCAGTAACTTGAGTGAGTTCACGGCGTTGTACTCACACAGATAACATGTGTACAGTACAGTATATAGTCAGTTCATTTTAGTACAGTTAACTACAAAACCTTACCTCAGGCTTAGAGGGTTCATGAACCTAAACATGTAATTCACCATAGATTAACAGGAATTAACTGGACATGGCTTACACGTGATCATATGGTGACTGAAAGGATCTCATTTAAGATTTCGTAATTATAATTAATAAATTGTCTCCACTGAAAAGGAAAGATGTTATCTGTGTCTCATAACGGTAGGGAAGACTTACCTCAGACTCCTAGCTTCTCTTGACCGAAAATGGACGCAAAGCATAAATTAATTAGGCTAACAAAATGTCTAGAAATCCACAGCTGGAATCCACCTTATGTTTTCCATTCCCTTTAAGATAGTTAGGGTGATCTTAGCAGCATAAGCCTCACAGAATTACCAAAAACCTTTATACCTGTACCTTGTAGGTGTAGGAAATAAAATCATATGTAAAGTCATAGTAATTATACAGTGTGAAGAATCTTACCTGAGATCTTATGGTGGTAGGGAATAATTCAGAGGCCAGGTGATACGGAAGTGACTCGATCCCAATATTCATGGCGAAGATAGAGACGACCAGACAGGCAAGAGGGACCATTGACCACTTGTTATCTAAGCTGAGGGAAAAAGAAGAACGTGGTTTGTCAGGTTATTTTTATATCTTAGGGTGAATAATTACTTTTGACTTATCTGCTAATGTATTTTTTTTTTACGGACATTATCCCACCCGGTCACAGGTCATTTTATAATGACCCACATCAAGGCCTGGTGGGCGAAAATTTTAATAAAATAATAATAATAATAATAATAATAATAATAATAATAATAAATAAAAATGATAAAAAATATAATAAAGAAAATATTAATAATACTAATTAAAATTATAAATAATAGTAATAATAATAATAATAATAATAATAATAATAATAATAATAATAATAATAATAATAATAAATAAAAATGATAAAAAATATAATAAAGAAAATATTAATAATACTAATTAAAATTATAAATAATAGTAATAATAATAATAATAATAATAATAATAATAATAATAATAATAATAATAATAATAATGATAAACAGCCATAAATAAATACAACAAAATTAAGTAAAAAGTTGTTCATAATTTGCATACTGTAATGTAAATAATATGTCATCTAAGAAATTAAGACACATGTTATGGTGTTATGGTTTAGAAGGTAATGTTAGAATATACAACCAGTTTAGAGTATCGTTATAACTTTACATAGAAGAATAATTCGAATGATGTTTACCTGTTAGTCAGCTGGGTGTCTTGAGTGTAGTTGGTGAGGTTGATGTCGAGAGGATCCAGGGTGGCGAAATTGATAGAATGATGACTGAATTTGATGTAGAAGCCCAGGACGCAGTAGGCGAGCATCATGGGTATCAAAGACGCCACCAGACACACTCGGCGACCAAGACGATCCACCAGTAAGGTTAAAACAAAGGCGCCGAATATTGGAACTGTAAAGAGCAAGATGGTACTGGTGTCTTTGTCCAGCTCCACCCCAGAAGTTTCTAGTATTCTCGTAGCGTTGACTCTCACTGCTGACGTCCCGGAGAAGTTTTGTATGAAGAAGAGAACAGACATTAGCAATATTCGTTTCATGTTTTCGCAGTTTAGAAGAGCGCCCCACCTCGAGGATCCACCGTTTATCTGGTTTAAATTTTTAAGGAGTTGTATTTCTCCGTCAACGTCAGCGTCGGCACCCCTCAGTCGCAAGAGAACGTCGCGAGCTTCTTTGGTTTGGTTAGTGACGGCCAGGAAGGTTGGGCTCTCGGGTAAGCAGGGGACAATAGCGATCATATATACCAGTAGAACACCAACGTTTACGAAGGCCACTTGATACCATGTTAAGGAGATTCCCAAACAGACGCACACACCGGCACCAAACAGGAACATTAAACAGACGATGGTGCCAAATGATCCTCGGTGTCTCGTGTCCGGTATTTCTGTAGCGTAGGTGATCACGGCCAGACTCACCATGCCGGCAGTGATGCCATCCAGGAACCTGTCAGAAAAGATAACGTGTGAAGTGCTGCATCCGGATGTAATATTTACGTTTGAAACCATAGCCTTTATGGTAGTTACGCACTATAAATTGTCCAAGAAATTATAAGGGCACCGTTTTATTTATTGGTTAAAAAAACTCAGGTCTACCAACACAACCAAAACCTTTGCGTGTTGTTTCATATGGTCTCGTATTTTATATCTTTATATTTCAGTGCTAAGATGTCGCGATAATCTTTTTCGCTGACTGTGCAGTAAATTTGTAGAAACATCATGAGACGTTAAGATTGGTACAGTAGGTCGAATATAATAACTATTAGGATAAGGAACTTAGACCACAACTACAGAGATCAATAAGGTTGGTCACAGGACTCATGGCGCTAAACCTGTGGGAGAATTTTCAGTAGAATGGTAGACCTTTATTGTATATGTTGAGGTTTGTGACAAGCGCCACTGACGGTTAAATTACACTGGGTTTTTGTATGAAGATTTTACCTCATTATTGACTGAGTACCTGGTGAGAGAGGCTCCCCGCTACCTCAATATTGACTTAACGTATGACATTACCGAATATACGGAGGAATTCCCGCAGGAGCGCAACTTTTTTTGATCTCTGCAACTGTTTAAACCGTTGTCTTCCTTACCTGCCAACAATCAACAAAGTTGGGTCGGGCGCCAGAGCAATGGTTAGCCAACCCAGCATGCCTGGCACCACCGCCACAACCAGGGAGCAGCGCCTCCCTATTTTGCCTATCAACCAGCCGGCCATCAGGAGCCCTGGTATGCTGCCTATCACCAGGGCACTACCTGCACCATAACAGTAGTAACATTAATGTTTATGGTTCATAATGATCAACATCAGGGTTATGTTTGTGTGTTTCTTATGACTTATTTGGTTAAGGAGTCATTATAATCACCCGAGTTCATGGATGAGGGACAATCAAATATCTTCACTGGGTGTTTTACATAATAAATGTAATAAAAACATGACCTCCGCGCACTGTTCCGTACACCACATGTATACACTACAATATTCCTTCATCTGAAACTATTTTAAGCTTTAACTTGCCCATCATATCCATTTGCCAGTCCTCGAGATGAATGTCAGTACCGTAGAGGGTGAGTTCGTCGGACAGGATGTCGGAGGCCAGCACGTTGGGTCACGACATGGACAGCCCCATCACGAAATAGGACACGGAAGCTCCCATGACGATCAGTAGCTGCGAGATGAGAAATGGGGGATATACAGTAGGCTGGTCAGGTGGTCCTCTTTACCGGTACAGTGCACAGAGTCAGCAGGTGGTCTTGGATTCATCAGTCTCGAGTATAATAATAGGTCATGGACTAAGTTATGTCGAGTAGTAGGTCTGAGATTGAACTGTGTCGAGTAGTAGGTCTGGGATTGAACTGTGTCGAGTAGTAGGTCTGAGATTGAACTGTGTCGAGTAGTAGGTCTGGGATTGAACTGTGTCGAGTAGTAGGTCTGAGATTGAACTGTGTCGAGTAGTAGGTCTGAGATTGAACTGTGTCGAGTAGTAGGTCTGGGATTGAACTGTGTCGAGTAGTAGGTCTGAGATTGAACTGTGTCGAGTAGGTCTGTTGTCGAGATTGAACTAGAGTAGTAGGTCTGAGATTGAACTGTTGAACTGTGTCGAGTAGGTAGATTGAACTGTGTCGAGTAGTAGGTCTGATTGAACTGTGTCGAGTAGTAGGTCTGGGATTGAACTGTGTCGAGTAGTAGGTCTGGGATTGAACTGTGTCGAGTAGTAGGTCTGAGATTGAACTGTGTCGAGTAGTAGGTCTGAGATTGAACTGTGTCGAGTAGTAGGTCTGAGATTGAACTGTGTCGAGTAGTAGGTCTGGGATTGAACTGTGTCGAGTAGTAGGTCTGAGATTGAACTGTGTCGAGTAGTAGGTCTGGGATTGAACTGTGTCGAGTAGTAGGTCTGAGATTGAACTGTGTCGAGTAGTAGGTCTGGGATTGAACTGTGTCGAGTAGTAGGTCTGAGATTGAACTGTGTCGAGTAGTAGGTCTGAGATTGAACTGTGTCGAGTAGTAGGTCTGGGATTGAACTGTGTCGAGTAGTAGGTCTGGGATTGAACTGTGTCGAGTAGTAGGTCTGGGATTGAACTGTGTCGAGTAGTAGGTCTAAGATTGAACTGAGTCGAGTATTAAATCTAAGACTGAAGGTGTGACCTCAATATTAACCTTACCTGCATTGGTTGACGATACCACCTCCCCTTGACTTGTTCCTCTTTCTCGCCACTAGTCAAGTCTGTTAAGAAACGCCCATTAAAACCAGTTCATGTATTCGATGTATATAAATGAAAGGAAGTTATACTGAAAAAAAGTATACTTCTGGGGGTGCTATTAATCACTAGAAACATACATTTGGGTGATTTCAATGCCCTTTTAGCAAGAAAATTGAGAACAATATGATAATTGTTGAATTTCGTTATTTAATGTGAAATCATATCATTGGCGGCCATTTTGGACTTTTCTCAATAATACCCGTTATAACAAAAAACAAAATTCTCAGGGGTCGTTTCTCTTGGCTGCCGGACCAATTACGTTAGATAGTTCGAGGAACAGGAAAATTCGGGAGATCCTATTGTACTTGTAGATTCCAACATATGCCCATAGGGAGTACAAGTAACAAGG